TAGGTTTAGAAATATGCCACTTTATGGTTTGATTTATGAATATTATGGCTAATATTTGGGTTAAGTTTAGGGTTAGGGTGCTAAGTTTGTTTAAAGTTAGGATTTGAGTTAGGTTTGGAAACATGCCCATAAGGTTAGATTTAGGAACAGTCAGTAGCTGATTGTTAAGGTTAGAATATGGGTCAGGTTTAAGAACATGCTATTTTAAGGTTAGGATTTGGGATTTGGGTTTAGGAACATTTAAAACAAACAAAATATTTTAAACATAACAAAACAAACATGCAGCCAGACACTCTAGCACAGGGGTGCTCAATACGTCGATCGCGATCTACCAGTCGATCGCCAAGGTCGTGTGGGTAGATCGCCGTGTCTCGTCTCGGACTCTATCACGTTTGGACTCGGTCTTGTCTCTCACTCGAGGTCTGACACTGGACAAGTGCGATCATATTACGGCCGCTGCTGTTGGCAATAAACTTGTACCGGGGTGCGGGAGCGTGCGGAGCGTCTCACTATAGCCTGTGTGTCATTTGGAACACGCGGATACTGTGCGGCACATCACAATCACACATGCTCCCTGTGCGCGGCTTGTCCGCAACAGCGTTAGTCCTTGTGTACCAGCGTGTATCACAGGGCAGGTTAAATCCTACCTGTCCATCTGCTCACGTCAGCACACCGCTCCTTGCCTTCTCACGCTCTCGCTCTTCCCCGCACACAGGCTCCTGCCACAATGCGCGCAGATTAGAAGGACAAGACAAAACGCGAAGCAAAAACTGATCTAAATTTATGTTAGAGTGTTGGCACAGAGGATGTCAACAGCACAGAGCAGACCTACCGCGACATGTGGCCGAAGTTTGTCTAATAAACGTGCACAAATACATCTGGGTTTGGTTTGGTAAATGAGCAGAGGCTAAATCCCACTGTAAAACTAGTACTAACCATGTAACTCCAGTTAGGAACTTGAAAAAACAGGTTTAAAAATCCTAATCACTGTCTTCACTTTTTTCAGTTTTCTGTAAAGTGCTATTGAAAGTTCTCTTAAGTCCAGTACAGTTTACTTGACTTTTTATAAGTAGCTCGCATGCTGAAAAAGTGTGGGCACCCCTGATTCAAGTAATTACGAACATGTAAAAAGTTTAATTGTGTTGAGCAGTATTATCTCATGACGTTATGCAAGATACCTCAAAATGTGTTGTACATGTAAGAATTCATAATACATTTACAAATAAATATATGTCTAACATTTTTGTATTAGGTGGTAGATCTTTCAGACACGATCATTTTAAAAGTAGCTCACATACTGAAAAAGTCTGAGCACCCCTGCTCTAGCACCTTTTAAACACTTTTGAACAACTGAACAGGCTATTGCCTATTGCCATAAAATTATTAGTTCAATTAATAGCCTAAAATAACAAATGCTGGCTGCTATGTGATCATGGGGAACAGTGGGACCTCTCTGTGTGTGTAGATCCCGATGTTTGAACAGTGTAAGCAACCCCAATTTTGACTCACTGTGGAGCGACATGTTCGCATGTTGGTTCTTGCTCTGATCTTCGAGCATTACATTCTCTATATTGGCCATTGTTGGGAAAATATCCAATTTGGAATTGAGTGGGGACGTCATTGAGGACGTCATGAATCGTGTACCCCACTTAAAAAATCCCCACTCCACCACTGCCAAACACAGTCCCGTCCATCAGGGCCTGGTGCATGTGGGGGCCTGAAGCCTCTGTGATGGGGTAAACTTGATACTCACTCTGCGGTATGGGGGGAAGGGGCAAACATGTTTAAAGAACAAAAACACTGGCACCTACAGGGAACTTTTAAGGCTACAGCATGAATGAAAATCTTTCCATGCATGCTTTTTATGAGGGAACAATGTTATAAGATGTTGGAAAGCTCCAAAAAGCAGAATTTACATAATACCCCTGTTTAAAGGTCCTGTATTACACAAAATTTACTCATGTGACATTATAGTGACATTAGAGTCACAAGGTGGAACAGAGTGTTTATTGTTTGCAGGTTTATAAGTTAAACATGTGTGAATGAAACATCATCACCTGGTTGTTTCCATGGAGATGTTTTTACCTTGTTCCACAGTAAGGCATCAAACTTGTAGCATCACCTGCCTGTCTCCACGGAAATAAACAAGACCAAGTTACATGCCAGATCTGTAGAGAGGCGAGCCTGCTTATCATCAGAATGTATGTTTTTAAGGTATCAATAAAAAACACCTGTAATTAAATAAATGCAAAGAAATTGCATCTCCATGGAGTCAAAAGTGAATTTGTGAAATGCTAAACTCTTTTAAAGTGTGAGTCGTTTTGTGTGGGTGGGGATCGTTGTTGCAGTGAAAGGAGAGAATCTTTAAAGGTGCACTATGTAACTTTTTGGTTGGGGGTCTATCACCTATGGAGATGTCATTGCTCTGCCTGGAAAGTTCCAGAGACAATAAACAGCTCCATTTTACATTTATTCATTTACCGGTGGTTTTATAGCTCAAAAATACCTAGAAAAACAGGCATTCTGACTGTGAGCGGGGGTCACCTCTCCACAGATCTGACCTGTAACTTGGCCTGGTTTGGTCTCCATGAAGATAGAAATGTTTAATACCAAACTGTGAAACATTCCAGACAAAACAATAATGTCTCCATAGAGAAAAGCATTTGACAGACCCTCCACCAGAAAAGTTACACAGTGCACCTTTAAAATGAGCGTTTTAAACATGTCCAAAATGTTCTGTTCTTAGATGAGTGGTGCTTAAATGTTGTGCAAACACAAGTTTACCTCACGTACCTAACAGTTGATCTCATTTTAATCATCAGTGCAGATCATAAGTGTGGATGTTCTGTGCAACTTTCTGTGGTTTTAACTTCCCCATGAAAGATATAATATGATATGAAGCTGGTGCATGTTTCTGATGGTATCTCTTTTATTATCAGTAATTTCATAAGACAGACCAGAGTGTAGAGATATTTTGATATTTTGAGGAGAAGTAGGTGAGGTATTTTCTAGAAAATCAAAGATGGCATCATTGTGATAACAGAATAATTTTTATTATATTTTTTTAAGCAGACCTATACTGCAAACTTGACTTTTCAGAGCTTTTAAACATGTCATTTTATTACTTCATTAGTTCAGCGTCACGTTGTCATTTTTCTACAAATGAAAAAATAATCTCTGCTCTCTAGTGTGATGTGCAGTTATCCATAGGGACTAGGAGGTTTGACACCTGCATGTCTCTTTGTTGTGATTATGTTCTTTGTGATTATACACTTTGTGCGCATGTGGAACTGCCAGCTGCCTTATTATAGATTAAGACAATAGAAGATTACTGTAAGTCTTGTAACATAGAAATAACTTATGATTGATACAAAATAATAGCTATTATAGCTTAATGCCTGATTTAGTGTCACCAAACCACTTTGTGTAATTAAAAATAAAATGTGGACAGCTTTTAAGATATTTCAATAAAATTAGAAGAACAGTTCAACATTCAAATCTGAGCTTTAAAAGGCCCTAAACAGTGAACATGACTCTGGTCTTGACTCTGACCTTTCATCTTCATTTGGCTTTACTTTCATCCAGGAGACCAGAGAGCTGCTTCCCTGGGCTGCTGCTGTAGCTCCTTTTCTCTTTCCTTTTTTAGCCTCTCCTTTCTATACATTAAGTTGCAATTAGTAAATAACAACAGACCAAAAGTATGAATAAGACTGAAGTCTGCTGGTGACATTACAACAAGGCAGAAGGCTATGGATTAGTGGATTAGTTTTTACTTCACATTTTCTCTTTCTCTTTTAATCAGTGCATTGAGGATGGAGTCTCTGTGTGTGAGCACACCGAGACAAGACTGAGTCCAAGCACCCTCAAGACCGAGACAAGACTGAGTCCAAGCACCCTCAAGACCGAGACAAGACTGAGTCCAAGCACCCTCAAGACCGAGACAAGACTGAGTCCAAGCGCCTTCAAGACTGAGACAAGACTGAGTCCAAATGTACTCAAGTCTGAGAGGAGACCAAGACCGTGAAAAAACAGCCTCGAGACCAAGACCGGGTCTCTAGTCCTATGACACTAGGGCAAACAACACACTCGACTCGATTGGTGTGTTACCTGCTGGTGGGGCAGGGGAGGAGGTGTGTGTGGTTCTACAAGAGCTTGAATACCTGATCCTTACTACTCTGCTGTGCTGCACTGTGCCTCAGTTTGTGTGTCGCTCTAAGTGTTCACGTTGACAAAGGAAGAGACTGAGATGTGTGCGGGGGAGGTGCATATCAGGGCATTATTATCACACGCTTTTAACCGCCCAGCTTTTCACGATGATCATGTCAACATGGACCACAGAACACTGACAAAAACGACAACAACAACAAAACTTTCAAAAGGGCACTTTTTGTACAGAGGGAAAAAGGGCAGATGCTTCAGCACGCCGCTGGTTCTGACATGTTGAAATGTAAAGACATGTTTTGTATAATTTCTGATCTTTTTGTAATTATTTTGACTATTTTGCTCCAGTATCACTGGTTCAGTTGAATGCTGAAAAGAAAAAGAAATGGGCTACGTTTAATGTCCAAATATGCGACTTATGGATCCTATTATTGCTGGTTCAGTTACAACTTTCCATTGTTTAAAACTTGAGTAATACTAATTGTTCAGAGAGACACGATCACTCAACAATAAAATATCCTCATTAATGTTCAATAATGGTCAAATTCACCTTTATTTTGTGATTTACAAATAATGTCTATTGACTATTGTCGCGAAGGTTTGTGACTTTTAAAATACGGGTCCCCAGAAAAAAAGAAACACTGCTTTAAATTGCGAAAAATAAACTCAAAGCACATGGGGGCGAGTTAGAGAGGAGGAGAGGAGGAGAGTTAGTGCGAATGAGAATGTGGGCGGGCACAACTGGAGGAGGCGGAGTCACTGGACAGCTGGAGGCAGGGCTACTGCTCAGCTGAAGGAGCAGGCTGAGTAGAGCTGGATTTGTTATCAGGAAAGAACAGGAGCCTCACAGTACACAGGCAGGGTCCCGGGACAAGTACTATGTAGTAGTAGTAGTAGTAGCAGTAGTAGTACTTGTAGAAGTAATTTTAGGTGGTAGTATTGGACAAAGTGGATTGACAATTGGATTAACATTTTTTATTCCAGTCAGGTAAGTCTGCTGTTTTGTTAAGATATGGTTTTGTTGTTTAATTAAGAAGAAATTACCATTGTTAATTTTCTGGTTTGGATTGCATAATAATTACAGATGTTTGGATATTTCTGTTCAAAATATCGTCTACTACTCATTTATTATTAAAGCGGCAGTAACTCAGTTGGTGTCTCAGTGGAGTGTCCGTCCACTCACCTGGAGGCTGGAGGAGGTTCCAGCTCCTACAGGTGAATCCAGTTGTTGTGTCCTTGGGCAAGACATTTAACTCACCTTGCCCCCAGTGTCTGTGTACACTGGTGTGTGAATGGGTGAGTGGTTCCTTGATGTAAAGAGCTTTGAGTGCCTTGAAGGTGGAAAAGAAATATATGTAAAATTGACCATTGACCATAAAACCACTGTATGTAGACTGTATTTCTAGACAAAAATAGATCTTTGTTTTGGTTGTTTCTTGCACTGGAATGTGTACTATAAATGTGTAATTAACCGAAATATCGTGATATCGTATCGTCAGAAGTCTCACAATAATATCGTGGGCTGTCACAATATATCGAATTACAACTTTCTTTGCTTAAATGCATGGTTTTATAGTAGCAACAGCTGATAAACATAGGGAACTACATATCCCATGATTCATTTCAGTGCAAACAACATGAAGATATATATTTTTTACTTGAATTCTTGGGATTATGATGGAAATAATTCACACCAATATCTTGTCAAGGTATTTTAAAAGCAAAAAAGTGTCCAGTCTACAAATATATCAGCCTCTCCAAAATATTGCAGTAAATATCGTACCGTGAGATGCATATCCTGAAAATATCGAACCAAGGATATCGTTACATCCCAAGTACTTAATGTGAGTGGGCTTGCATTTCCACAAACCTGACTCTTGTTAATTCTGGATCTCTTCCTTCTGCATGTGTCCATTGAAATGTTCATTTGGCTGTTGATACTGACATCACGCTGGGGGTGTTCTACATGTATGTGTATTGGTGTAATGTTCAACACTGGGTGACCAGATGTCCCTATTTACTCGGGACAGTCAGAGTTTTGAGCCCTGTCTCCCCCTGTGCCAGCAGATTTATCCAAAACCAGTGATTTGTCCCAGTTTTATACAAGAAATGTCACTGGTGTTCCTATTTTTGACCAATGTGATCCCTGCCAACAGTAAATAAATGGATATATTGACATTTGTTTTGGTAAAATACAGAAAAGCTGCTTAAAAAATGACCAAAACACAAAGAAAATGTGACTATACCAACTCACATGTCATGAACGGGCTGAGTGCGGAACAGTTTTCCTTAATTACACACTCATTTCACAGTTTTATTATTACCAACCATCCGTAACCGAGAGTGTCCCAGTTTTTTATTTTGGAAATCTGGTCATCCTAGTTCAGCAGTTACCATGCAGACACAATGCACACATTAGCAAACACAGCTAAATACGTGTTAAAATAGTCTAAAAAACTGATTTAAGGAGTACATTTTCAGGAACCTGTGATCCATACAAGCTTTCATATTCCACTTTCGGTGTTTGATTTTCTGTAATATACTGATTTTTCTCAAAATTAAACTCTAAATCAAGTCTTTTTTTTTCTTTTTTAAAAATATCGCATTTAAAGGGATCGTTCAGAGTCATTTCAACCTAGGATCCTTTGCACCACGACCTCTACGTCACATTTGTATTTAACTGTCGTTGAATAAGTTGGGTGGAATTGACGACCAAACTGAGAGAAATGGAGATATATTCTGATGCAAACTCATGATCAAGGAAATGTGGGAACATAGGGTCTAATTTTGGAAAGAAAAGGGACTTGTCTAAAAGCACAAATCTATTCACCTGTTGTAGTCTTAGCTGAGTCAGTTCTTTATGATCAGATTGTGCTGAAACAAAGCTCAGAATAAGTCTAACAAAGCCTCAGACAGAGCTGTGCCTCCAGTTAGCATCACACCCCCAGGGAATTTTGATGACATCAGTTGCAAAGTCAGAAAAATCACACGATATCACAGTATGGCATAACATATATCTCTATGGAGAATGTTTCAAAACATAGTTGTAACTTTCTATTTCCATCTAATTGCTCACAAACATGAACACAGCAAAAACTGGAGGGTTAAAATTTCAGGGTAAAATATTTCAGAGTTGTTTTTAACGCAAAAAGTGTGATTTTAACTATTTGGAAGTTAAATGGGGGTTCGAGTTAGGGCTATTTGCCAGAGTTGATATGGTTGAAGTTGTTAATTCATCTTCGCCTAGTGTAAATTCAACTTCGTCTAGTGTTAATTCAACTTTCTCTAGTGTTAATTCAACTTCCCCTAATGTTAATTTAACTTCCTTTAGTGTTAATTCATCTTCGTCTAGTGTTAATTCAACTTCGTCTAGTGTTAATTCAACTCCGTCTAGTGTTAATTCAACTTTCTCTAGTGTTAATTCAACTTCCCCTAGTGTTAATTTAACTTCCTTTAGTGTTAATTCATCTTCCTCTAGTGTTAATTCAACTTCGTGTAGTGTTAATTCACCTTCGTCTAGTGTTAATTCATCTTCCTCTAGTGTTAATTCATCTTCCTCTAGTATTAATTCCACTTCCTTTAGTGTTAATTCAACTTCCTCTAGTGTTAATTCAACTTCCTCTAGTGTTAATTCATCTTTGTCTAGTGTTAATTCAACTTCCTTAGTGTAAACTCTCGCAAGAGAAGCCCAGTTTGAACCAGTTTTGTACATAATTTCACCTTAAATTAATTAAAATAAAGTGTAAAAATAAAACACCTCTTTGTGTTGTTTAGCTAAATCAGGATAATCCTACAAAGTGTTATCTGTTTACTCTCGAAATGTTAATATAGCTTTTGATGTCGGGGTTAAAGAGGAACTTTAACATAAAAATTATGTTAACAAAATATTAAATTAACTCTAGAACAGATTGAACTCATATAAACTCTGAGAAAATGTTAAAATTGTTTCTGTGTGAGAGTCAATTTTAATCCCACTTTTTACAGCACATTAAAGGTGCATTGTGTAATTTTTCTGATTGAGGGCTCATCAAATGCTTTTTTTCATGGAAATTTTATTCCCTTATCTGGATTGTTTGACAGTATATTAAATCTTTCTATCTTCATGGAGACCAAACCAGACCAAGTTACAGGTCAGATCTGTGGAGAGGCGATCCCGCTCACAGTCAGATTGCCTTTTTTCTTGGTGTTTTTGAACTATAAATCCACCTGTAATTGAATCAATGTAAAGTAGAGCTGTTTAATGTCATACTGTGGACATTCCAGCCTGTGTAATGACATATCCATAGAAACAAATTCTCCCAACCAAAATGTTACGCAGTGCACCTTTACACTGCAATTACACGCTTATAACTTTTTATTGCCAAGTTGCTGTTTGAGCTTTGGTGTGGTCAAATAAGTTATAAGTAAAACTGTCTATTCAAATATTTACATTTGCAGTTTAAGAATGAAAGTGACTTAATGAGTTTGCTTATTGCCATGACAACTGAAACAAAAGTGGTAATCATTTGGGGCGGAGTTTGACTTGTGTGGTCCTAAACAGCTCTCTTGTCTGTGCTGTTGTATTGTTTAAAGATGCACTGTGTAACATTTGCAACAACAAAAATGCTAACAGTCTAGTGGAGGGTCTGTCACCTGCTTGTCTCCATGGAAATATTATTGTTTTGTCTAGAATGTTCCATGGTATAGATTAAGCCTGTCTATCATGAGGGAGACAATTCGAGTTTGAATGTTTTTTTATCGTGACAACACTGTCCTAGTCATGCTGGCGCCACCTAGTGCTGCCGCTCAATTTCATTTCTCTCCAGCGACTAGATCAGGTATCGGAATACACTAGATGGTTTGCAAAAACCCTGGAAGTGTGAGTTCGGGCACCGGCCAATCAGCGAAGAGCCATACATTTTGTGTTGGCAATTATTCACAAGATCAAGAATTTAAAGTCGGAACAAAGAAAATCAAGGGGAAAGACGTTATTGCCCTTCTTCCTGTGGGATTTGGGAAAAGCTTAACATATCAGTTAACCCCGTTAGCAACACATTACATACGTTACAATCAAATAGCAGCAATTGGTTAAATAAAAAAAACAAAAAAGGACCCTGCTTACTGTCGAGCGAACAAATCCTAATGCTGTGAGGTCAACCGGTTTCCACAAACTGAAACCAGCTGATGAATCACGCTAACACTATCCATGATATCCAAAAGTAAAAGTAATGAAATGTATTTTTATTGAAGAAAACTCTAGACACCTGTTTTTGCTTTTCTTTTTTCCCCCTCAATATTTCAGAACAATAATGACATATTGTGCAAATATTTTATGATTTAGACACAATGACTGTCCTCCTGTACATCATTAGATCAAGATCTCAAGGTCCTATATTACGCAAAATTGACTTTTGTGAACTTAAGCAATGTTAGAATTTTGTTACCTCCTCAAAAACCTTCCCGGAGTTGTGTTTTGTTTCATTCACATGTTTGAGTAATCCTGGATTATTAGTCTACATTTCCCAAACTCAAAGTTATTTATTCCACCTTGTGATGTCATGAATCACTAGTTTTCATGTTAACAGCTCATTTTGCCTTTTAGAGATTGGCAATTCCAGGGCTGAAATTATCCAAATTATTCCACTGAAGGGGCAAAGAGTTTAAAACACAGTGGAGCACTTCCTGTATTACCACATGACATCACAAGGTGGACTTTTTTTTCAGTCTGAGAGAAGAACTCTGCCTAAACGTTTGTGAATGACACTAAACACAATTCCAGGTCTGTTTTTGACGAGGAAACCCAAACATGTCAAGTATTTTGGCTTTCACTTCTTTTTACTTCTGCCGTGGGAATGAAAATAGTCGATGTGGCGTAGTGGAGGCGATGGTTGCCGTGGAGACCAGGACAAACATCTGGGAAGCCCGGTGAAGCTGCAGGAGAGAGGGAGAGGAAACGTTAACTTTGTGGACATAGAGTGTTTTTTTTTCTCTCTGTCTCCAGGATGGGGC